AATAGGCATTTAGGAAAAGAAACTCAAATCACTAAAATATATCCAATTAGAACCCCAATAATAAGAAAAAAATGACTAGAAAATTTAGAGGACTATACTTACGAAACATTGTCAACCAAAATCGAAACTAAGAATGGTCTGAATTGAGTTAAAGATGCTATTTCCTTATATTAAGTTCAAGATCTTATAGTAGTTGGTTGAATAGTGGACCTATACTACAGAACGAAGTCTGACACTTACTGCCCTCCTCTTTCTACAAGTGTCTGGCACAGGTATTTTCTTGCATTCCTGTGAGTTGGACAGTTTTCCAATGCAAGTTCAAAATCTTCAATTGCTTTGTTCAGACTTCCTTTTGTTGCATATCTGGAGATATGAAACAAAGTAAGAAATTTATCTTGTGGGCTATGTATAAATCTTGTGCACATTCACCTTGTAAATATTCCTTAAAACCCACAATTCACTTACAATGCTCCACGAGCTACCAAAGCTTCCACATTTTGTTTGTCTATTTCCAGAGCCTTATTGTATTCATTCATAGCATCCACGTGGCGCCCAACTTTAAAATAATCAACTCCAATCTTCACACTAAAAAGATAGTTATAAAGTATCACAAGCATTTCACAGAATATCAAAACAAAATGTTAGCACGGGTAAAATTTTAAAGCAAATCAAATTTGGCTAATATTTAGCCTTCCATCCTCTCCAAATACCTAAAAGCATTCTGCCATTGGATAGTTTTGTAACAAATTTTAGGAAATCTAGATATCAATATACCAATTCCTTTTGAAAAAAAAAAAAATGATGTTGGCTAAAACTTAAGTCTGTTAAGTTTACAACATAATACCATTTACACCTATAAGAAAACTAATGTCAAAAACTCACTTTAATTCATTTACAAACAAACTTGGTCTTAATGATGACTTAAGAACTCTTTGCTTTACCCTAACCTTTTATGCCAGGTAATTCAATTGTTGAAAGACAAAATCTTCATACCATTTTAAAGCCCAAGATGCAGACTGTTTCTTTCTTAATGCAGAAGCAAAATCGTCTTCAGAGAAATTTTTGCTATTAAGAAAAAAAATTCAAACCGTATAAATACTTTTTTGTATAGTTCACTGCCTGACAGATAACAAAAACTCAACACTGAAAAAGTGAATCCCAAGCGAGAAACCTGTATTCCATTTACAAAATAAATTTCCTGAACTCCCAGGAATGACCATTATTCTTAGACATTATTTTTCTTTAGGGTATACATAAAATTCTTATAAATGTTCTAAATCTTTCTCTATTTGGCCATCTGGTACAATTCTAATTACTGATAAGACACTTAGTTCCAGAAGGAGGCAGGATCACCTAGTTCATTCAACCTTTGTCATACTGCTGTCACTAGGCTTAGTATAGTTGAATATGTCCCTCAATTATGTCACTTTGGAGCTTCACACCATTCAATACCTTACAACTTAATAAATAATACTGATTTACTATACCTTTGTAGGCCTCTCATTAAAGATGGTGGATTAGATTCATCTATTCCTAATTTTCCTAGGAGGAATTCAACTACTCCTGGGTTAGCAAATCCCAAGGAACTTTGCATAATATTGTCATAGGATTCCAAAGAATTGCTATTTAATTCAACACTCCTCCTTAAGAAAAACAAAAACAAAAAATGAAAACAAAAAATAATTAGCATGTCCACTTCTGTTAAAGAGATAAAATTATCGCATGGGGTTTAAATACTCATACTATATATAATTTGTACATGAAAGTGTGGCAATATCATGACTGGGTTCCTTTTATCAAGTTTGAAGAAATTTAAGGGTATAAAAATATAATGAGCATACTTTGAAATAAGAGAAATTGAAATTTTACTTTGTTGTTAGAAGTTGGACAAAATTTGCTATTTTTTAAGTCAAGAAACTGTTTTAATGTAGAAAAATTACCTGTAGTACAAAGGAAGCTCTTCAGAACTAATTACACCTAATTTAATACCGGATAGGTGCGGTGGAAGAGATGAGCTATACAGAGATACTGCAAGCTTTTCATGATATCTGTCAATATCCTTGATTCCAGCTTAAAAAAATAAGAAAACTAAGCTGATTAGCAAGAAAATGCAAACAAACAAAAATCCTTTCAAACACGATTCTTATTAAACTACATTTTCAAAATTAATTTATAAAATCTGACAAATGTTACTTTTCTATTAATATGATGAAATTGATCACCTCGAATGATATCACCAGTTTGGTAATACGATAAAGGATCCCCATGGTTACTGTGAGAAGGCACATCTCTTAATGGACAAAGAGCCTGCAATGAGAAGTATTTTAAAACAACAGACTTCCTATTCATTGGTGAAAAAGGTCTTCTTTTATCCTACTTGTTCAGTATAAATGGCTAATAGTTGATATAACCTTAAAAAAAATCAACTAACATCCTAAAGTCTAAATTTAAGTAAGGATTTAAATTTTAAGTCATTTCTGTGTCCAAACACTATTAAACAAGTTTTTTGAGTCAGTTCAAAATCTAAAATCTCATAAAATTTGCAATTAGTTTTAAGAACCAAATATGAGTGTGGATGATAAAGCAAAAAGATATTTTTCACTTGTTAAAAAGGAAACGAAAATTTGTCCAGTGTGAGAATTCCAATGAAAATGAAATGTGAATTCTCCAAAGTGTATGTCTGCTATTCAGTCTGTGATATCTCCTGCTTTTCTTCATTTTCATCTGCCTTGACAGACAGCAAATATCAAAACCTTTTAAAGTGACACATTACTTCAAATTCAGGACTAGTTATCTCAGGCAAAGTATCGCATAATATATACATCACAATCAATTACTGCAAAGACATAAAAAGGCCAGGAATTTTTTTCTAAATTATCCATATGCAAGTACATAATGCCAAATACTAAGAACATGTTCAGCTAGAAAAAAATAAGCCCAAATACCAATCAATCTCACCATACCCATCGACATCTGTTGTAACATTTGAAAAAGGACCTCAGCCCTGCCAACCAAGGAGACCAAAAAACTCCCAAAACCAGAAATGGAGGAGTAACTCTTTCACTGCTAAGAATTTTTTAAAAAAGAAAATGGTACTTTTTCTCCAATTAAGATATTTAATTCTCAAAAACTGTCAGCAGGGTACACTGAAGCACAACTGGATGCAAAGACCTAATTCTTTTTATTATTGCTTTCAGGTTCTTTCTCTTCTTTTTCCCATCACCATTTATCCCCTCGATGCCCTCTTCCCCCCACCCCCACCCCCCATCACCACACTGAGTTCGATCGCTCGTTCTCTCGTCCTCCTCAATCAATCCAGTCCTCTGGCCCTCCATCAGAGCTGTCGGCTTGCTCACTCTGAGTCTGTCTATATTTTGTTTGGTAGATCAGCTTGTCCATTAAATTCCACATATGCAGCCCTAGCCGGTTTGGCTCAGTGGATAGAGAATCCGCCTGTGGCCTGAAAGGTTCTGGGTCGATTCCGGTCAAGGGCACATACCTGTGTTGTGGGCTCGATCCCCTGTAGGGGGCGTGCAGGAGGCAGCCGATCAATGATATTAAAAAAAAAAAAAATTCCACATATGCAAAACAGTAATTCTTTCACTGAAGCGACTCAAAAACAGAAGCAATCAAGCGACTGAAAAATTACCTGTAGTACAAAGGAACTGAGTATGTCCCTCAATTATGCCACTATGGTGCTTCACACCATTCAATACCTTACCACTTAATAAATAATACTGATTTACTTACTGTGATTTCCAAGTGAGATATATCTCTCATGATGCCACTGCCCAAACAAATCAACACCATGAAAAACCCAAATTCCCGAATGGAACTAATTCTTCCAATCACTATATCTCCACGCTCAATATCTCGGAAAAACAGCTCTCTCCGATCCATACTAGGTATGTCCATGAACTGCTCTAAAGGTGGCATGACTGCATAAGAATCTGAAAAAAATAATTTACAAAATCACTAACCCTAGTTTTTGTGTTCTGTTTTATCTGAATGAAGTACTGTTAAAAAAAAAAAATAACCGCAATCAAAAGATATTTTAAGACTCGGCTCACCTTCACCGTCTTCATGAACTTCAGAAGTTGCAGGTGCATCTGATTTCCACGAAAGTGCAAAAAGCAGATCCGCCTTTTTGGAAATGAATTTTTGGATTTCAGCGTTGTCGGCTTTCTTCTCTTTCCTTAAAACAACAACAGAATTTATGGAGACTAACTTATCTGCAAAACCTTTTAGGACGTCCAAGCATCTGCTCCAGGCTTGCATCGCCCAAGCGGGTCCTTCCTCAATTCCAGCCCACACATCCTCCGAGTAGAAGTTTGAACCCTCACCGGCCAGTCGGTTGCTGGAGGGCGGGGAAGCGTCAAGAGCGATGCCCGCAGCCCCAGATACGAAAGCCCGAGAACCCGCGCCTCTGCTGGGCAATTTCCAGGGAAATACAAGTTCAGCCCGCCTTCCGCGGAACCCTCGAGGACACCAGACGCGCGGGCCCTCCGACATCGGACCCTCCGCCACCCAGCGCAGCCTCCACGGCTCCGCTCCTTCTGGACTCGGCGGCCCCGCTGCTGCGGCAGCGGAGCCCCGGGCTGGGTCCCCTCCCCCGCCTGGGAGATTCGCCGCGATTTCATTACCTGCCTGGCCCCGGCGGCTGGGGCGGCGGGCCCCGGGCAGGCTCGGCCGTCGACCCCAGGAGGCTCCGGAAGTGCGGGTTGTCCTGCTGTTCGCTACGGAGCAAGGCCAGCAAGGACGGCCCGTGGTAATTGAGCGACTGCCGCAGAAGGTCGCGGTCCATGGCTGGAGCATGCAGGGCTCCACGACTCCCGCGCCCACTACTCGAGCCCCGTGGTCCCAGAGGCCGAGCCAGCGGCCCGGAAGCCGCCGGAAGCGCGGGTCACAGGCCCTCGGGGTTGCCTCCCGGAAGTACTTCGTCGCCGCCCGAGTGCCGGCGCCTAAGCGTCGGTCTCGCGGAATTGAGCGCGACTACGGGAGCCGGAAGGACTGGGCCGAGCATTTCCTGAGCGAAGGAGGGCTGGCTGCGGCTCCGAGGTAGTGCTGTGTGTGACAAGTGTACTTTTTAAAAATTCCAGGCTGTTATTCTCACACCACAGTGGCCCGAGCTCTAATCTCGGCTAAGTAATAATTCGTCTGTTAATTTAGTGGAGACGCGTCTAAGAGTGCAAGTGGCCCAACAGGTGAGAACTCCAAAGGAGTTACAAAGGTTCTTCCCCTCCAATACTCGCTGGTTCAGTCACTACCTACGGCTCAGGCGTAACCACACCAACACGACTGCGCTGGGAGCTCTCCGATAGGCTATGGGGCAGAAGAAAGAAAAGCAGATTTATTAAGCTCTGAGATTGTGCCCTCCGTCCACAGCCCACTCACTGTTAGCTATTTTAGCGTTAACTAAAAACCAGAATGACTTCAATGCCTAAACACATGCACACATGCTTTGTTTTGCATTTTATCTAAGTGATTTCTCAAAATGTAGTGACCAGAAGATTCACTTATGGCAGTGGTTCTCAACCTTGGCTGCACATTAGAATCACCCGGGAATCTTTTTAAAAATCCTGATTTCTGGGCCTCATCCTCCGGAAATTCTGTTTCTTTGTTATGGGGTGGGGCCACAACATTAGTAACAAAGAAACAGAATTTCTGGAGGATGAGGCCCAGAAATCAGGATTTTTAAAAAGATTCCCAGGTGATTCTAATGTGCAGCCAAGGTTGAGAACCATTGACTTACGGTGTTGTGTACACTAAAGTAAATAAGTTGTTTTTCTTTTCTTTTCTTTTTTTGTAATTCAACTGATTTTCAAAGGTAATTGTGACCTATTGACTCAAGAACCTAACCACTGTATCTCATATACTCTCATTTAAGACACTGAGGACGCAGGCCCAGAGAATCTCAGTAAATTGATCAGTGTCATGCAGCTGGTAAGTGGCAGAGTTAGGATTCCAACTTGATCTTAACAGACTCTTCACAAGCAGAGTTGCTGGAGAGTAAATTTGTATAGAATAGGGGTGGAGAACCTTTTTTTCTGCCAAGGGCTATTGGATATTTGTAATATCATTCCTGGGCCATACAGAATTATCAACTTAAAAATTAGCCCGTTATATTTGGTCAAACATTTAATTAACTCACCCCTAAGGCCTTGTCAGGGCCAGACCAAATGATTTTGAGGACCTTATACCGCCCACAGGCCGGATGTTTCCCACCCCTGATATAGAAAGACTATAATTTTGAGAGTAAGTTTTATTTCAATATAAATTTGTTGGATAGCTCATTTGGTTAGAACATCGTCCCAATATGCCAAGGTTGTAATAACTTACCTGGTCAGGGTACATAACAAGAATCCACCATTGAATGCATAAATAAATAGAACAACAATTCTCGTCAATAAAAATATCTATTATTATGTTAACATCTAAAGATATTCTTGAACATTTTCTTAAAAAGGGTACACTTGATTTAATTCCTAAGTACATATTGCAAGATGTTTAGATTACACATTTGCTAACCATTTAAAGTAGTTATCTGTATTCTGTTTAAAGTTCTTATTCAGGGTCACCCAGAGTTTACGCAAGGAAGAATGAAGAATACTAAATGGAAAATACAGCTAGATAAGCCAAAAATCCATATTCATTATTAAAGAAATAACTTAAACTATGAGCTCTTCTGATAAGGGTTGGTATATCTTTATCGAGTAGTCTTTGTTTGAAGGGATTCCATCACCTTATCTTTTTATTTTTCATATCACAGACCTCAAGAGAAAAAATTGTCAGTTTAATATTTATCCACTTGAGGGTGCCATAAGATCATATAGGTATAAAATTTTCTAAGGTTTACCAGAAAACCTACTGCCAACTGAACAAGGATTTGTAACTTAGCATATAGAATCATTTTAAGATAGTTGTGTCTCTTACATCTCCATTTTTTAGTTACTTGTAAATGTCTTGAGGATATTATTTTAATGTAAATCAGTTCATATTTCACTGTCTAGGATTGATTATCTCAGTAATTTTGAATTAATTTTTCCAAGAGAAAAGATCACTGTACAACACCAGGGCAGAGAATGGGTCAGTTGTTGGTCCATTTACATCATAATCCATGTACCATGAACAACATACATGACGCTTCCAGAGATGTGCAATGCTTGACTACACGCAGCGGCCACCTGCAGTGCCATTCTCAGCCAGCCATTTTCCCCATGTTTTTCTTTGTTTATGTAAAGGATTTGGAAATAATATGAGGATATTTTAGAACAAATTCATCCTGATTGTTGAAAATACAGTTTAAAGATACGTGGTAATGCTCACATGGAGTAGGTCAGTGTGCTTATTTTCAGGTATTTTGTCATGACTGCTTATAAAGATTCAAATTTACAAGCTTCTTAGAGTCCCATTCTGTGGCAATGCCTGAGAATACTATTGTCAGGGAACGTGTCAGGATTATAACCAAGAAAAATTGACAGTTTAATTGATGCTAAATAAATGGTATTTCTTGTCGCTGCATTCTAGGTTGGTTTGATACCCATATTTTAATGCAATGTGGACATTTCTTTGAGAAAGAGTGATTGATACTTTTTAATTATTAAACAGTAACTCCTTTTTATTTTATTGATGACAGAACCAAAGGAGAATTTCAAAACTAGGAATGTATCATTGGTTTTGTTTATTGCTCTCCTCCATGGGGAGATCCAGCATATCTGTGTAAATATTTAACTTTGATCCTACTCACTTTAGGTGTCACATTTGCTTATTGGCAGACATAGAGTGGTCAAATTTCCAAATACAATTGTTTCAATTAATGAATTTACTCAGCAAATATTTGTTGAGGGTTAGACACTGTTTCATATGTTAGGGATAAAATAGTAAAAAAAATAAACCAAGATTCCTGCCTTCAGGGACCTTACATACTGGCCATGTCTGGAGACAGACATGAGCAATAATCATAGTAAGTAAGTGATATATTATGTTAGAAGATGATAAATCCTATAGAAAAAGAAGTAAATCAGGGGAAGGGGCATTGGAAGTACAGAAGGTTTTAAAATAGAATGCTCAGGGCAGGTCTCATTGAGAAGATGACATTTAAGCAAAACGTTAAGGAGGTAAAGGAGTTAATCATTCAGCCAATTTGGGAGAAAAGAGTTCCAGGCAGAGGGAACAGTTAGTACCAAGGTCCTAAGGCAGAAAGGTACTGAGGAACCGCAAGGAAGACTGTGGCAGAAACAGTTAGCATGGAAGTACAGGGTTTGTAGCTATTGGAGGAACAGGGCTTTCACTCTTAGTGAAATGGGAGTCAATACAGGATTTTATATATATTCTCCATATATATTATATATTATATATTATATATTATATATTATATATTATATATTATATATTATATATTATATATTATATACATTTATAAATATACAGATAACTACTGTTTTTGAAGCATTTTTCAAAGATTTTTAAAAACTTTCTTAAAATGGAAGTCCAATATATAAAACAAATAATGAACTATTCTTGTTGAATCAATGACAAGAAGATATGGAGTACACACCCCCGCCCCAGCCTTTCTATGCACATACTAATAGATAGCTGGAGAGGTACCTTTAAGGGATATCTCAGACTTGTTAACAGATTACTTCTTCAGACAGGTTTCAATATCATTGATTATGTTTTAGCTTGTTATAATCATATTCTAATCATTTTTCTCTATGTCTATACGTATTCACTCTGGAATTGTGAATTTCTCAAACTCTCCAGGCACATGCGTGTGTGCACGCGCGCGCGCGCACACACACACACACACACACACACACACTTCTGCTTGTATCCATTTTCATAGATGGTATTCTTTTGCATTGTGCTTTGATCCTTCCTAATAAATTCACTATAAACCCCATTATGATCTGGTCTCCAAACATCCTATCTCATTTTCAACACTATCCATCAGTTATCGGGATTCAACTATATAGTCTGTAGATTTTTCTGATATTTTTAAAATACTTCAAGTTTTCCCCAGTTCAGAATATTTATTTGCTCTTTTCTGATATATTCTTCCCTCTCTTTTATTTTCTTTTTATCTTCAGGTGTCAGCCTAACGGTGACCTCTTCTATCCCACAGCACTCCATTTATTTCCATCATAACAGGTATCATAATTTATTTTCTAATTGATTATCTGTCTTCCCCACTAAAATACAAAATCCAGAAGTAAAGGCCATGTCTGTCTTGCTCATGACTCTGCACTCAATAACTAGTTCAGTATCTGGAACATATTGGATACTAAATAAATATGTTTGGGTGGATAAATGTCAATGTACAAATATTAACATGTAGTTATCACACTTAGAGTGATGATGACACATATATGTCACATATATGTCACATACTGGTCTATGGCAAGCAAGGCTTAATTAATCGGGCTGCATGTAAGGGAACTTGTAAATAAATTCCAGTTTTGGGCAGTGGGACCATGTCTTGGCTTGGGAGGTAGTTATGGCAAATAAAATATGTCCTTTGGAAATTACAGCAACAGACAAATGGTGGTATTCCAAAAAAGTAGTCCATGTTGTTGATTCAACTTGGATTAAAAGTGCTTTCTGGATGGTTGCAGGGAGCATGGTAATGTAATTCCAGAAGCAGATGGGATGATTTTCTTTTTTAAACTGTAAAGGTATTTTTTTCCTTTGAGCTTAAATATGAGTTAAATTATGTGACAGCTAAAAAAGCAAATGTAATTTTCTCTCTTTCCCCCTTTATTTTTTGTCTCTCCTGACTTACATTTGTTTTTTTGTCTTTTATCTTTTGTTAATTGTTGTTGATCTCATTGTATCTGGGACAGTTTCTGTGAAGTTCTGTGCAATTTGGAATATATATGTATATTTGGTATATTAATCAGGATTATGCAGGGGAAAAAACCAGTAGGATGTGTGTGTGTGTGTGTGTGTGTGTGTGTGTGTGTGTGTGTGTAAGGAGATTTATATTAAGAAATTGGCTCATGTGATTATGGAAGCTGGCAAGTCCAAAATCTGCAGGGTGAGCTGGTAGGCTGGAAACCTGGGAAAGGCTGATTTTGCAGTTCACATCTGAAGGCCATCTGCTGGCAGAATGCCCATTGCTCCAGAGAGGTTGGTCTATTGTTTTTATTCAGGCCTTCAACTGATTGAATGAGACCCAACCACTTTGTGGAGGGCATTCTGCTTTACTCAAATCCACCAATTTAAATCTGACTCTTACCCCAAAACACCCTCCCAGGAATATCCAGAGTAATGTTTGACTACATATCTGGGCACCATGGCCCAGCCAAGTTGACACATAAAATTAACCATCACAATTGTGGTGTACTTTGATGCCACATTTTAAGACACTGAAGCTTATTTGGAGCAGTCCAAACCATGATGGCAAAGCAACTGGAAACCATATATGAAGAACAGCTGAAGAGACCGGGAATGTTTAGAAATTTTGCATCGTTCAGTCTACTGGGTTCCGCACTTGTATCATACCCAGTGTCTTTCTGAATTAAATCATTACTTCTTACTTAGAGTTGTTATGTGAACTGTAGACATTTCATTGTCTTTTGGTTTGGAATTGCTTTAATTTCAGTTGTCAATGGGGTTTTCTAAGCTTGTGATGCTTTTACTTTGCTCTGTCCAAGATCTAGAGCTTAAGGAGATTTCTTATCTACCATGGTGATTTCTGTAAAATAAATTCCATGTTGAACACTGAGTAAAATTATCTCCCATTTCGCAAGAGTCATTGACTCCAGATGACTTCCTTCTTTGAGCTATAAACATCACTCCAAAACCCTAGCAGCCTAGGGCTTTGCTGTTAACCACTTCATGTCCATATCTGTGGCCACATTTCAACTACTTCCCCAATAATAACAAACAAAACCAAACATAATTATGTTAGGAAAGATTTTTTTTTATGTGACCATTAGACCTTTTATTAGCAGTGATCCAGAATTTATTGTGTTCATTTTTATTGGCATCATGGTGACTAGCATGAATATGAGAACTGTAATTCATTCATTCACCTATTTATTGAGTGTCTATTTGTGCTAAGCACCTGTAAGTGCTTGGAGTTCAGTGACGAACAAGTCATAGAAACATCCTAATTAAAAAAAACAGATAGCATGAATGGTTATTGTTGATGTTTGGTTTTTATCCTGATGAATTTTTTTTATTGTTTTATTGCTTAAAGTATTACAAAGAGTATTATATATGTCTCCTTTTTTCCCCCCGCCCTTGACAAACCTCTGGCCTCCCCTATCCACCAGTGTCTTATGTCCATTGGTTATGCTTATATGCATGCATACAAGTCCTTCGGTTGATCTCTTACCCTCCCCCCTCCAGCCCCCCAACCCTCCCCGGCCTTCCCACTGTAGTTGGACAGTTTGTTCGAGGCAGCTCTGCCTCTGTATCTATTTTTGTTCATACGTTTATAATGGTCTTTATTATCCATAAATGAGTGAGATTATGTGGCATTTTTCCTTCATTGACTGGCTTATTTCACTTAGTATAATGCTCTCCAGATCCATCCATGCTGTTGTAAATGGTAAGAGTTCCTTCTTTTTTACAGCAGCATAGTATCTGATGAATTTTTCTTAATTCTGTACCTGTAGACTTAGATATGAAAGAAAAATGGATTTTTTTAAGCTTTTATCAGTTCCACAGATAAAAGAACTGGTACCCTTGTTAAAATTTAAAGATTTAGAGAAGAATAAAATTCACAATAGTACAATATAATTTCACAATAATAAATACTATTGCATTGATTATCTCTGTATAATTAAAAATTTTCTAGCCTTTGCCTCTTATTTCTGGCCAAATTAAAGATAACTTATATCCTGACCAAAGAGTCTCTGCAGCAAGAAATTAATTAGTGGCATAGAACTCAATCAAATACATGTTTATATCATTTACTTGGAAATTTGTGTTATGGAATTAACACAAACCCCTTTCCCAGTAATCATGGAGAGAGTTGAATTTTAAGTGTTCTTATGATAGATTCTATTAAGAAGATTAAGCACAAATATGTTTTATACAAGAAATACTAACTGGATTGACAGCATATTGCAGCTGAAATTTTCTGGTCAAATTCTGTATATATATATATATACACTTTTTTTTCAAATGTTGATGCCTTGCTTTGTCTCAGAACTCATGTGAGGCTTTCTAGCGTGCTTGTACACCCTTTAAATTTTCCTGAAACTCTATCATAATTGTTCATTTTAGCTTCTCCTAAGTTCCATGCAAGACCCACGTGACACACTTTGTTCTAAGGCTAGCCTTACCACATCCCAACTAAAGCCTTGGAGGAAACCATGAAAATTCTTTTAGATCTTCCTCAATGTAGCCTCTGTTTGCCCTCTTTGTAGTGCATTCTGTTTTCTTTTCCCAAGGCCATTCCGTGTATAAACCCCAGCTCCCCATCTCGTCTTTGACTGTAGGCTTCTATATTATTAAAGTCTGATACTCTTCAATTTTATTAGAAAAGAGAAGTTAATCTGTTCTTTGTTCTCCAGGAAGTTGCTTTTCCTTTATTCTCTAAGAAATAATGTTTAGATCTCACCTTCCTGTCTCCAAGTAAATTCTCTTTTGTCATATTTTGTGAATCAGTCTTCTAGCCCTGTCTCTCTACATTGCATATCTAGATTATAGTTACTATAGTAGTGATACAATTTGACTCTACAATATAGTTTACATATCTATGAAAATTGAGGATAAGGTATGACAGTATGATTTATTATTTTTTTCTGGTCAAAATAATTAAATGGAGATCTTTTCACTTGGGCATAATCATAGAAGGATACTCATTATCTTAGGGCTTGCCAGCAATAGTAGATATTGAGAAAATCAAAAGCCTTGACTTTTACTTTCAGCAATGACTGATTAACTTGTGCTAGACTGACCCTTCCATAATAAACACTCCCCTCCCTCCTGGACAAAATATATGAAACAAGTATTTTCAGACATTGTATAACAGGTAATGCAGGGCTGCAGTGTCTGAGAGAAGGGAATTAAGGTAGATATGCCCTACAATTGCCTAGTGCTTTGGCTGGAGGCACTTACTGTACAATGGTGCACAGAGTGGAACTCAGACAGAGTATGACCACCTTGCTGAGCAAGAAGAGAGATATGAGAGTTTAGGAGGGGTAAGCAACTGGAATATATGGGGCAGGGGACCAAAGAGGAGGGAGCTAATCAGGAAAAGAAAGCCATAAATTTGAATAGCTTTCCCTTAGAGTATTTGACTAAATAGTAAACTATACATGTGTAGGGTGAGACTCTACAAGACCAGACAGAGACCAGCTACAGGGAAGCTGTATGCTGAACAACCATCAGAGTTTTAGAGCATTGGGAGATGTTTTAATTTTGACCAGCTAGGATTATAAAGGCCTGTTACACTCAGGGAATTCAATAGGGACTCCCCAAAAGGCTATACTTATAGTTTTAGTCCTAAGAAGGAGGGCTAAAACTAGCCCTAGAGTAAAGTGCATCGTAGACTCATCTTAATAAAGTTGAAAAAGAAACTTCAGAATGATCAGGTTAATCTCCAAGAAAATTAATTGCCTGCCAGAACAAATCTCAACTCCTTTTAATGAAACATAGAAAAACCACTCAACAATAAAATTCACTGTCCAATATCCATAAAAAATTACTAGACATGCAATGTGACCCATAGTCAGGTGAAAAATTCTTTAATAGAAACAGACCTAGAAATGACAGAGATGATGGGACTAACAGATAAGGACTTTTAAAGCAGCTATCTATATATATAAAAGACTAAGTGTCTGTCCGTCCAACTGGTGGCTATGATGTGCACTGACCACCAGGGGGCAGACGCTTAATGCAGGAGCTTCCATGATGCGCACTGGCCATCTGTATATTTAAAAGCCTAATATGCAAAGTGTCCCCTTGGGAGTTTGACGGAACGGGAGTTTGATTTCTCACTGTGATGTGCGCTGCCAAGACCCCATGGCGCAAAATGTGCACACAGCCCAGCCCAGCTTGGAAATGGTGGCTGTGGGCGCCGGGTAATGACTTCATGTAGCAATGCCCTGCTTCCTCTTCCTAGTGACTAGCTTCCTTGGAGTTTCTTCAGCCCAGGAACCTGACTTGCTTTTTAGCCAGGTGCAAACATTTTA